TTTCCTAGTTTTATAGCATGAGAAATGAGTCGTCATAGTTCAGCTTCAGGCCACTGAAGCTCACAGAAGTGTTAGCAAGCAGAAGTTCCATCTCATCTGTACATACAGACATGTGGCAGTGCTTGGGCCTCTAGATTATAAAATCATAGAATGGTTTGGGTTGGAAGGGATCTTTAAAGATCATATAGTCTAACCCCCCTGCTGTGGGCAGGGACATCTTCCACTAGACCAGGTTGCTCAAAGCCCCACCCAACCTGGCCTTGAACGCTTCTAGTGATGGGGCATCCACAACTTCTCTGGGCAACCTGTTCCAGTGCCTCACCACCCTCGCTGTAAAAAATGGTAGATTTATATCCAATCTAAATCTACCCTCTTTCAAGGTAAAACTGTTGCCCCTTATCCTGTCACTGCCAGCCCTGGTAAAAAGTCTCTCTCTGTCTTTTTTTGTAAGCTCTCATTATGTATTGAAAGGCCACGGTAAGGTCTCCCTGGAGCCTTCTATTTTCCAGGCTGAACAACCCCAATTCTTTCAGGCTTTCTTCATAGGAGGGGTGTTCCAGCCCTCTGATCATTTTCGTGGCCCTCCTCTGGACCTGCTCTAACAGGTCCATGTCTTTCCTGTGCTGGGGACCCCAGAGCTGGACGCAGTACTCCAGGCGGGGTCTCACCAGAGCGGAGTAGAGGGGCAGAATCTCCTCCCTCGACCCACTGGCCATGCTTCTTTTGATGCAGCCCAGGATACGATTGGCTTTCTGGGCTGCAAGTGCACATTGCCAGCTCGTATCTAATTTTTCATCCACCAGCATCCCCAAGTCCTTCTCTGCAGGGCTGTTTACAGCGTAAGAAGTATATTCAACAATGATTAGTGTTGTGTGTCTGAGTCAACAGATACTACTAGTTCTGTTTATGGTTTCTGTTTATATTAAGTAACCAAAATTCACATTCAAAATTATCAATAGATGGGATTCTGCCATATATTGTATTAAGTCAGGTATACTATCATTCTGGGGAAACAAATTTACGTGATTGCTTGAACTATATGTAGCATCTTACTTAATAGCTATTTATAGATATTTCTAGAATTTGTCTTTTTTAAACTCACGTGAGTGTTAATTAGTCATCCTGCAGCAGTGTCTCCAGAGCTCAACCGTGCTGTGAGTGCGGATGAATGTCCCTAGTTTTGAGTTGCCACCAATAATTTAATTTGATATCACCTATTTCATTTATTGGAAGAAATATTGGATAATGTTTCCTACTCACTTTTTCCATTCCATTCCACGTGTGATTTAATAGATCTGTTTTAAACTTAACAGTTTGTCTTGTGTTTTAAATTCCGTGATTCCTTGAGTGGAAGCCATTCCAAATTTTCAGCATTCATGTCTCCCATCTATGCACAATTTTCCAGTTCTCTTATGTGCTTTTTGAGATAGGAGACTCAGAACTGCAGACTGCATTGAAGCTGGCCAGTGTATTAATCCATATGGTATCACAATGTTTTCTTCTTTATCTCCCTCTCCCCCCAATAATTGTACAGTTTGGTTTATGGACTGCTATTGAGCATTAAATTGTCATTTTTAGAGCTGCCTGTTACCATGCTTAAGCTGTAACAGTCAACTCGGAGACAGTTGTTACATAGTTAAAATTGGGATTGTTTTTCCCTTCATTTACATTTTCATGTTTATTTGCACTGAATTCCTTTTGTCATTATACTTACTGCAAGATCCTTCCACAGTTCTTTGCATTCAGATCTCATCTTTATTTCTCTGAATAATGTGGTACTGCCAGCAAACTTTGTCATCTCGCCATTCACCCTGCCTTTTCTAACCATTTACAAATACGTTGTTCAGCATAGTTCTCAGCACAGATTCATACAAGAACCAGCTGATGATACCCTTCACTGTGAAAGCTGACCATTTATCCCTGTCCTTTCTTTTATGTCTTTAAACTAGTTATCTCTGTGGGGACCTTCCCTCTTTTGTTCGTTTTTTAAAAAATGAAACATTTCTTAATCTAGAAGTATTTTTAATCTCAAATTATAATCGTGATCAAATGGTTACCTGGAGGGAGAGCAGGTCTATGAGGTGTAAGGGTCCATCCAAGCACTCGCAGTTTCACTGACAGGATGATCAGCTAGTAAAGCTTTAACAGTGCTACTGTCATTTTCCATTATTACTTCATATAGCTCTTCATGGCGTGAATTTTATTTCCTCTGCTCACAGGAGAACACAGTGGCAGGCCTACTGGCTCCTTTGATTATGTTACTCATAGACAAGGGAATTGTAATTTTTGTAATGAAAATCCATAATCAGAAATGGAGGATTTGGAATCTCACTCTTGAACAGTGTCGTTCTTTGAGATGTCTGCTTCTAGAATAGCTTTGAAATAACATTTTAAAACATCTTAAAAGTACTATAAAACCAGCAAAAGTTTAAGAATGAAAAGAAGCCTTAAGTTGCCTTTCTTGCTAGTGCTAATTTCTATTTAGTAGAAAAAAAACCCTGTACTAAGCAATAGTGCTTTCACTTCTCATCCAAACATACCTAAGCTCAGAAACCTTGTGATATAGACTAAGTAAAACCAGTAATTTCATATTATGTTTTCTTTTATCTAGCAAGTATGTCTTTTTTTCTAGATACATAATGCTAGCATTTCTCCTCCTTAGTGGTCCTAAAGCCAAAATATATGGATAAAACTCAAGTTTTTCCAGTCAGTGCTCTCTACTCAGGTCTGTTACACTTTGTTTTTTTCCATAGCAACTTCCAGAACCAAGCAGCATGTTGCAGCTGTATTTATCATATATTGTTTTACATTATGTCCAGCCCAAAGATGATATTTAGTCCTCCTTCCTGCTACATCAGTTGGTCTAATTTGCTGTCCGCTCTTGCCTGTTTCCGTTGACAGTACTGTTCTGCAAATTTCCCATTTTCTGCTAGTACTTTATCTTTCCACTAAATCTTTGTTTTTCCTGTTCTGCTTTCCTTCCTTTTTTCCTAGATCCTCCATATGTGGTCTTTCTGCCCAAACGGTGTTGCCAACATATAATTTGGTATCAGCTATGACTATCTTTTTCACTCACTAATGAAAGTGGTAAATCATTATTATCTTATACCTGTGAAGCACTAGATTTTATAGACTTTGAAACAGCTGAAATTTCATAATTCTTTATATAGATATATTTTAGATTTTATATTGCCTTGTTTTGTAGCCCAGAAATATCTTTTTACATGGATCAGATCATCATGTAAAAATAGGAGACTTTGGATTAGCCTGCAAAGACCTTCTTTGGGATGATGCAGACCAGCGGTTTAAGACAGAAAGGATAAATGGTAAGAGAAAAAAAGCTTAATGGGGTTTCTATGATGTTAAAACCATTAGGTATTAAATTCTTAAGTGAAATGGTAACAATGTAATGCTAGCTGAGTAAGTCTAAATTGCCTTTTTAAAGGACTGACGCATACTTCAGGCGTGGGGACTTGCCTCTATGCCTCACCAGAACAATTGCAGGGATCTCACTATGATTTCAAGGTAGGGAGTATTTTTTTTTCTAATTTTTCTATCACATGATGATAGATAATAGGAATAAAACAAGCCTTTCAGTAGGTAAATACATAATATTTGGTAAACACATGAATATTCCTACTGTTACTCCTAATGTTTTTGTTGAAACATGGATTTCAACTTTGCCTTCTAGTTTGCTACTAACACAAAAATTATTTGTGTTTCTAAGATCATCTTGAGGAATCTATAGATTTTAGCTCATATTCCTTTAGTAGTGTCATGATACTTTTCATACCATCATGAAACTTCATTGTTGTGAAACTTTTTCATATCGTGAATTTTTTATGAGAAAAAGAAATCTAGTAAGTAATTAAAAATACCAGTTATCCCAGAACTTTTTCTTCACCCCATTACCAGTCAGACATGTACAGCATGGGTGTTATCCTGCTAGAACTCTTCCAACCATTTGGAACAGAAATGGAAAGAACAGAAGTTCTTACACATTTAAGGAATGGCCAAATTCCTCATACTTTCTACAAAAAATGGCCTGTTCAAGCCAAGTACGTTAAACTCCTCACCAGTCAGAGAGCTACAGAAAGACCAACTGCTGCTCAGCTTCGTGAAAGTGAACTATTTCATACCACAGAACATGTAAGTTATGTCAATAACCTCAACCTTTACAGGATAAAGAAATATAAAAGGAAAATGCCCTTTGTTTCCCTGCCTGTATTATGGGGTTGTTTTGGTTTTCTTTTAACTTAAGAGGCTTGTGTGATTAAGACTCTTTCTTTTCTGATTACAGTATTTAGCCCACTGTATTAATGTTTCTGGTGAAATGAGATAAATGGTCATTAAGTATAGGTAACTTTATGAAGACTGGACAGTTGATTTACATACAGCTTGAGGTGTTTTTATAGGTCAGAAAAACTTTTGAAGCTTTTCATCAGCTCTGCAGAATCTTATCATTTTCCCTTTCCTTGCCACACTTTTTTGTTTGTGGATTAAGTTGTAGTATCAAATACGCAGAACAGCTGTGGTGCTGCACAGCTGGTGCTGTAGTGGATTGCAAACACAATTCAGATAGGTTAATAAGGCTTTATCCTTGCCTGTCTATAAATTAAGTAAACTGACTCTCATTTTCAGGTTATTTCTAACCTACAACAGAAGGTGAGACAGCAAGAGGAAGAAATAGAGAAACTGAGAGAGAGAATAAGACTGCTTTCTGAAGAACAAGATGAAAATATGAGACTAGGTTCTCCTGTTTAAGTACAGGAAGAACTAACCTCTGTTGTATGCTAAGTTATAGAAAACGTTTCTTGTTTTTACATAAAAATATTTCAATGCATTTTGATTTTCCTGTCTGTTCTTCAAAGGTATTAATCTTTTTGTCTTAGTTCAGAAGCCTCCAGTCAACAGAAAGGATCCATGTTGCACTTAGCCTCAGTATAATTTAACTTGTGTAAATAAGCATTTGGGTTACAGGGAAAAATATAAGGAAAAATTAAAAGTGCAGCTTGTATTTATAAAGGGCTACTTTAGATACCTTATAATCATGAAACAAACATGCATGTTATGCACTGGTTACAAAAAAGGAAGGTCACACCCAAAAGGTAGCTGTAATTTTTTTATTGATTTTATAATTCTGTCCAACTGTAGTACTTGGATACATCTCAGAAAGGACTCAAACCACTACAGCAGGCATGAGGTGGAATAAGATTAAAATTACACCATTATGAGGAGTACAGGCTTACTTCAGTAGCTTCATAACAGAGCTGAAAGGTGCCAAGTTCTCACATGACTTCATCCATTTTTGCACATTGGCTGGGGCAGCATTCATACTACCTGTCTGCTGAAGCGCACACCACGCAACAATGTCTGCTACGGTGAGTTCATTTCCCACCAACCATGACGTCTTGCCCAGGGCAGCATTCATAGAGCGCAAGACTGCTCCTTTTTCCTTACTGCTGCCTTCTTTTAGCTGGAAGATGGCTGTATCAACCCAGCTGTCAATCAGAGTTGAAGTAACTGCATTGTACTTCTGGCCAAACAGGGAAAAGAGAAATCTAGCGATGTTCCCCTCTCCTTCAATAGGGCACATTGTTTGAATGCTAAACTTCATCTGGGGTTTTGGAACTGAAATTAAGAAAAGAAAAAAAGTGAATGCCACATGGTAGAAAGTTAAATGTAATGGTAATTCCATGATGTATTTGATTTGTGATGCCAGCAACACTGTTAACATCTTTAACCTGATGAACAATTTTCCATTTTCTTAGGCTAAATACTTAGACTAAGGCAGAAACCTGCGATAAAGAGATCACTTTTTGCAAACTTCAGCCCAATCTCCCACCTAATTTCTATTCTAGCTAACTTATTTGTAGAAACTGAAAAACACTTCTATAAAAAAATCCTGTGGGTACAACCAACCATGTAAATGCCACGTGTATTTTAATAGCAGTAACCACAATCTTCCTCCTCTATCCCCAACATTGTTCACAGCTATAAAAGGAGAGCTATCTGCCGTACGTATCCATTGTGTGTCAGCACAAAGACACCAAAGCATCTGTTGTCAAGGCTTTATAGACAAGTTTCATTTTCTCACCGACTGTAAAATACTGATCTACAAGATAACTTCATTCTTACCATCCTTCCAAATAAGAGTAAAGCCCAACTGATATTCGTGACGTGGTTGCTTCTTAGTCTGCTCTCCAAAGCATTTCAAGAGGTTTTCTGGCACACTTTTCACCGATGAATGTGTGTGAACAGCTGATAATACTTTATAGCGTTCACAAAGCAGACTGTGTAGTACTAATAGTGACAGCGGAGGCAGAGAAGGATTTGCGTTGATTACGATATCTTTCAGGGCACCATAATCCTGAATGGAAAGGAAGACATTCAGCAGATAAGACACATTCCAGATCAGACTTTGAAGTAGTGGAGTTTTCATTTGACACCTAAATGTATGTAGCCATGCATGTGTATATCTGCAATTCTAATGATATTCAAATAATTCAAGTTTGGACATTAAACATTTAAACATCTTCCTTTCTCAACAGTAATATAATTCAAGAACACAACTGCAGTAAATTCTAGTCCAATCTGAAGCCAAAGTTAAAATTTTCAGTTAGTAACAAACAAGAAACCAACTGTCATAATTTCAAAATTAACCATTCTAGCTTGGACTTATATCAAAATGAGAATATATGGGATTTAGCATTTATAAATGTTTGTATCTATAATCTGGATGCCCAAAATGAAATGGTATTTTTAAGAATGTAAGACTTGTATATTGAGTTCTGAGTGTCCCAGGTTTTAACGCCACCCTTCCAACCCTGAAAATCTGAGAGCAAAGAAAGTATCTATCAACATACATGCTCAACTAAACTTACCTTTCCAAGCATCAGATCTAAATCTGCTCCATTTGTTGTCAAAGGAGAACATTCATCAGTTTGAATTATATTAGTTACATCAAAGTCAGCGTCTGGGGTTTGTATCATCTTTGAGAGACCATCGACAGCACTCTTCAGTTCATACAAGCGTTTTAGAATTTCTTCCTGGCGGGATTCAAGTGCTTGAAGTGACGGGTCAACCTCTTCCTATAGGAGGGGAAAAAACAAGGTCACATAAATGTTCACTCAGCTCAGCATCAAAATAGTCCACAGCTCACTTGACAATAAGTTTTGGAAGACTTAAAACACATTCAAATAACCGTGACATCATGGAATGTCATGGTCTTAAGTCTATTAGTTGTCTTTTCTTTTGTCTGCATGAATGTGGTGGGAGATAAGCTATTTAATCAAATCTCTGAAACGTTTTTTTTTAAACCACTAGCTACAGAAAACTCCATAACGTAGTAGAAGTCAGACACAACCACAGAAACTTAAAGTTGGCAGTGAAGTGCTGAATTAAAACCTGAAAAACCAAGGATAGCTTGTCGGGATTCCCTTCAGCCCAGAAGAGCAAACCGATAGAGCTTGTGTTGAGGCTGCCAAACAAGGAAACTTTTTGACAATTCAGGTAGTTAATAAAAGTGAAAAAACCTGCAGGTTTAGATGGGTGGGGTATCATATGAAATCACTCTTTGTAGTCACTCTTTGATTCAGAGAATATAAACTATAGAGAAAAAAAGAGCATAGGCTTTGTTACATGTTTATCCCAATGCATCTTTTTGTTATATCAATTATCTTACAAATTTCTTATCTGACAATGCTACCTCTTTTAAAAGATGAAAAATATATTCCTGTGGGAGGTTTTAAGTCTACAAATTTACAATAATGTTAAAGAAAAATCTTTATATAGATAATCCATTTCTAAGCATCCTGAATAAGGATTAACAAAACCCAACCTATCAACCAAACTTCCTTCTTTCAGTCTAATGGATAGAGATAACAAGCAAGGCATCCAAGTGAAATCTTGATACCCTCTTACACAATATTTTCAAAGACAAGACATGGAAACACTTCTTAAGTGACCATTATTTGGCTAGTACACAATTCCGTGAAACAAAAACCACTCTCAGAGGAGATTGGTAGTTAATACTTTGCTGTTGCAATGGGAGGGCATCTTAGGAAGCATTCCTGTGAAGTTCTGCCCCAAGTCTGCTCCTACTCAGTATCTCCACCAGCAACCTGGGTGACAGCACAGCAAGTACTAACTGAAAAGATGTTATGGCACCAAGCTAAAAATGGCCACAAGCATCCTGGAAGAATTCAAAGCATCCCTGACACTGGAGAGAGGCTGAAGTCAATTCGATTAATGTAACATAATATTTTGCATTTTTGCCTCATTTAAGAAAGAAGTAACTGAGACGAGAAATAGGAACTAGCCAGCCACACACCCTCTATCTCAACAACAGAAAAGAAAATAGACCGGAGCCAACAGCGCGATGATGCAGCAGGAAGGGACGAGGCCGCTGGGACACAGGCACCGACCCAAGGGCTTGCCAGAACGCAGCTCGGCAGGGTACTCCAAATACGGCGGTTTGAAATAAGAACCGAGAGGGAGACACACACGAGCCCAGAAAAGCCAAGCTGAGAATTACCGAAGGCTTTAAAAACATTACAGGGACATTCCTGGAAAAGCTGAGCTTATTTAACCCTCGAACGAACCACTGATAAGCGAGGAGGAACCAGCGCTCGCCTGTGCCACTGCGCCCCTCCTGCGGGCTAAGGCGGTGGATCGCGGGGACCCGGCCCCTGTGAGCTCCCCGGCGCCGGAGGCTTCTCCCA